AACTCACTAGGCCTAACTAGCTCACCAATTTTCTTTATGTGACAGAAAACTATTTATTAGTCATGCCTTCTTTGACTCTGGTCACGCTGGCCTCGCATAACTGTTCCTATGGATAAGGGTTAAAGGGCGCTACGGTAATACCTTACAAAACACATTTTAAGTGCACCAAAGTTCATTGATGGCGGGTTAAAAAGAACTTATTGCTTGATTTTTAGTACCTGTTTTATGTATCACTTGGGTTTCTTTATCTGTGTTCGTTGAGCGAATAACACAAAGAGTACTTAATATCATAATGTGTTCAAATTTCATTAAGTTCTGATGTGCATATTTTTGGAATCAAGTTACAAATTGATTTTTTTTGTTGGACAACGCACGATACCGTAGTTTGCTGCGAGTGTGTGCCCTCTGGCGATATGGATTATGCAAGCTACCTACGTATTGATCTATTACAAGATTGTTGCGTCAGTAGGCCATCGATCACAATGTAGTTATAGGGCTTCCTTCTCTGTAGTTGAGTGAATATTTCTTATTTCTTCTACTTGTCCATTAAGGGATTTCGAGTTTCCATGGCAATTGGTCCATTAATGCAAATTGTGATGAATGCTTTTAGTCTTTGTCTTTAGTTTGTCTCAGCCAATAAACTTCAAGTTCTTCGGCTGTGCACGCTGAATATTTCTGCAAGCTTTTTCCCAGCTTAATAAAAGCATTTATGTCAGAGCGTCGACTGTTCTGTTTGAAGGTCACTGCTCCGGAGGCTCTTTGGCCCTGCCGTGTCTCTCACTACTGTACTTAGATTCGCTCGTGCTCCTTTTTTTACGGTATATCATTGAAATGAAATCGAAACATTGACAAGAACAATTTCAAAACGAAATTTCTTATGCCATTGATATGCTTGTTTTCCTGTCGTCAGTGACGTCATTATCAACTCGTTTATCGCCCGTAAAAGTTCCGTTCAAAATGGGCTGTAATTATTTACGTCAACCAAACGTTATATTACATACTTGTCTGCAGTAATATTGCAATACTTGTCTGCTATAATATTGCAATACTTGTCAGCAATAATATTGCAATACTTATCTGCTATATTATTGCAATACTTATCTGCTATATTATTGCAATACTTATCTGCTATATTATTGCAATACTTATCTGCTATAATATTGCAATACTTGTCTGCAGTAATATTGCAATACTTGTCAGCAATAATATTGCAATACTTATTTGCTATATTATTGCAATACTTGGTTGCTATATTATTGCAATACTTGTTTGGCAGAACAATACCGTACTTATCTTCACAACTTGATTGCGTAATGGCAAGCAACTAATGCAGGTGTCTTTGATTCAAGTTTTTTATATCGAAAACAACGATGAAACTTGATACCTTGTTCCCACGTCTCTTCTTCATAGTCTACTTTAAAAGAAATAATTTTTCAAGACTTGGTTTTTTTTTTTGTTTCTTTTCCCAGAACTTAGTGCAATTATCGCGCAACTTTCGTAAAAAAAGTTTTGTCTGTTCTAGTGGAAGTTTTTGATTGTAAATCTGCCCGGGGTTGCCTGGGATAGATGGTAATCCTTGCAATTCGAGAATCCCTTCATCCCGAATCTAGTAGAATTTTTTGCAACCAACATACCACTTGTGAAGATAAAATTGTTCAAAACCACGTGAAGAGCTGAATTTGCATTTAAGTACTGTTAAAAAGTTGCGAAGAATTTTGAATTTTATATTTCAAAATAAAATTTACTTTTTTATACCGAGTATAAAGCTTATTTTGATTTTTAAATTTAACTCTCCCCTCTTCTAGTTTTCGATGTTCACCATTAATAATAAAATTTTCAGGGTAATAGTCACACATGACATGTATCGTCCGATCGCGCCCAATTAGCCCTAAATATTTTCGCACCAAGCAAAGAATACAAACTTTGACATGTATAATAATTAAATTTATATTTACGAAAAATATCTTGGACTCAAATGAATTAAATTGGTTATAAATCTCAACAAGTCCTTATGATTTGGCCACATTTCCTGCACCTAATTGCAGGATGTACAAACTCTGCTTCTTTGGACCTGCTATTGCACAATGCACGTGTAATTTGCGTGAACCTTTGTCCGAGACATTAGATATGCTACGATCTCACGGTTACCGTTAACCGCGCTCATTGTAATGAATAAAGATCATTGCTTTCTACACTTATGCATGCGTGTTATGTTCGTGCATTTATTATTTCATGTATTGTTAAGTGTTGCATGTAAATCACGTTGCAGTGATTGCCTACATGCAACCCCACCGTAGCCCATGCAAACGTACAAATGTAGCCAAGTTCAGCCTTGTTTTGTCTGCTTCTAACGATTTTTATTGTCTTCTCTTGAGAGTCCTCAAATTTAGTGTTAGTGTCGTCCAATGATATTTTTGTTCAGCTTTGATTGTGATGCAAATCTTTGCTTCATGAAATTGATGTTTTCAATACTTTCAAGCCCATAAATAAACTATGGCATTTTCAAGCCCACTGTTTCAGCACTACCGCGCGTGAACCATGCAACGTTTGGGTATTTTGCGTAAAATGAAATGCAAATAACTCTCCTGATTTTGATGCAAACTCTAAAAGCTTTGTCCAGCCAAGCAATTAACGTCTCATATTCTCTGTGTGAATTTGATAGCCAATGTACACTCATTGTACTTTCATTACTGGCTATCAACGGTGATTTGACCTTCCCCTCATGCCTGGGGTCGCGTGTTCTGTGAAGGCATTTAGCGCTTCTACGTCACGATGCCACCCCTTTGGTCTCGCCCCCTAGCCTCCCCCAGGCCCTGCACACCGCACGTCATCAGTTCATGACACACTTCCAGCTCATCGCCCTGCAGCCACTACTTCCCCACGCTGTTCATGAATCACTGCGCGCCATTCGATTTCATCCCCGCGCTGTTCATGAATCACTGCGCACCATTCGATTTCTTCCCCGCGCTGTTCATGAATCACTGCGCGCCATTCGATTTCTTCCCCACGCTGTTCATGAATCACTGCGCGCCATTCGATTTCATCCCCGCGCTGTTCATGAATCACTGCACTCCATTCGATTTCATTCCCGCGCTGTTCATGAATCACTGCGCGCCATTCGATTTCATCCCAGCGCTGTTCATGAATCACTGCGCGCCATTCGATTTCATCCCAGCGCTGTTCATGAATCACTGCGCGCCATTCGATTTCATCCCAGCGCTGTTCATGAATCACTGCGCGCCATTCGATTTCATCCCAGCGCTGTTCATGAATCACTGCGCGCCATTCGATTTCATCGCCTATTTTGCTCCTATAGGGTTTACAGTTTAGCGTTATCGGCCTCAATATAATTCTCGCTGCATAAGTTTCTAGAATTCTCCTATCTTGCTGGTGAATCATAATTCTGTTGACTCGTGTAATTGCTAGAAAGGCTCTTTAACTTATTAACATAGGAAGTCATCGGACAAATTCTTCTTTTGCCTCCATGTGCGTCAGACTTAGTAATAGCCCGTTGAATCTCTATCTTATCTCATGACACGTCACTTCACGTTTATAAGTTAGTACAAAAGCGCTGCTCACCGTCATTTACTTGATAATGTTCATAATTTGATATCGGTTTTCTTTTGATTGTTTTCATAATTAGGTCTTGGTATTGGGGCATGAATAGCGCTTACGGAAATATCGTGGAGCGACATCGTGCTCTGAAGATCCAGTTGATGTTGTTGATTTCCTTCGCTCAGTATTGCTTACATTGACTTTCTACAATTGAAGCTTTTGCCCTCCATGCAAAATTGTTAACATTTACGCGCACTCTAGTGGCATTTGGGCGCGGCCAATGGTGATGTGTATTTATTGTTATTTTTTTCTCTTTGCCTGATCATGGCCCACTTCCGTAAGGAGCTTGATTAGCTTGACTGTTACGAAGAATATTGCGGCTCCTTGGTATGGATTTAATAAACAATTTTGATTTAGAATGGCAGATAATGCATGTACGTTCTAAAACTTATATTAAATTATGCCTGAATAATAAGTTATGTATGAAAATAAGAAGTTACGTATATTAAAATTATCTAATTGGAATCATTATTAACCTAGACTGTTTCTTCGCGGGCCAAATTTGTAATAATTTATTTACCTCCAATATAACCCTTGGCAAAGTTCATAGTTTTACAACGTAATAACCTTACCGAGTTTATGTACATATTACCTTTGCAATTGGAAAAGTGTTTGAGAAGATCATCCTTTACCTCGATGCCAAATGGTATATCGATGTGTCTTTCGCATGCTAGTTTTTTTCCCACTTTTGTATATTATTGTTCTTCTTTTCTTAATTCATCTACCTACTTGAATTGCAGCACAATTTGTGTTCGAAAAAATACTAGCATTTTGTAGCTTTGTCGGCTATTGTCTACGACCAATAGTATATATACTGTGTGCACGTTTACATGCTCGTTTATGTTTGCATGTTCACTGAATTCTAGTTCTTGAATTTTTTTATGCCATTTTATTTAGTTTTATTCCGTATGTATGGGTATATCCATGTATGTGCTTTTATATACCTGGAAAGAAAAATGTCCAATATGAATTTCTAACGAAATTTTTTGTTCCTTGTGCAACTTTCTTAGAGAGATCCTTACCATTGGGATCTGTAGACCATTGCTAGGGGCTGTGATGGTGATGCATTTACCGTTGCTGGTGGCTGTGATGGTGATGCATTTACCGTTGCTGGTGGCTGTGATGGTGATGCATTTACCGTTGCTGGTGGCTGTGATGGTGATGCATTTACCGTTGCTGGTGGCTGTGATGGTGATGCAGGATAATGCTCATTTATATAGTATTTATACGGTGGACTATAAGCATGTTGCTGGGTGTTGTACTTACCATTGCTGGTGGCTGTGATGGTGATGCACTTACCGCTGCTGGTGGCTGTGATGGTGATGCAGGATAATGCTCATGTATATAGTATTCATACGGTTAAATAAGCGTGTTGCTGGTTGCAGGCTGTTCGAGGCGGAGGAGCAGGATCTGTTCTTTGACTTGCAGTCGCTGCCCCGCAACGCTGCGCTCAGGAAGCTCAACGATCTCATCAAGAGAGCGCGACTGGCTAAGGTGAGCAAATTATCTACACATTCTTATAATTATACCCAAGAAATATTACATCTGCAATATTCCAGTTTTTCAATTTGAAAAACTGGAATCAATGAATTGAAATCAACATTAGTGTTTACTCTTGGATTTCTTTGTTTTCATTTAGAAATATGGTGGAAATAGATAATTAGTTACTGCGTGATTTTTTTCGCGAGGTTTATTAATGGAGTGCAGTCTAATGGGTGAATGCATGTTTTCATTGCTTCATTTTCAACGATTTGCGCACTTTTTTGTGCCACTAATATTCAATGCGTCGAGTAGTGTGATTACTAACTTTGAGCTCTTTACTCATTGTTTTGGGCTGCAAATTAGCGCATAGGCAATCGGTGTAAATGGAATCATATTGTATACATATATAACGACTTATTGCTTCACGTATCCTGTTAACAGCTCTTCTTTCCAGTCATAATAGATTCTCAAGAGGGTAAAGTTTAACATTACAAGTTAACGAGTGCCCGTTTGAATCGAAGGCGATGTTTATACGTAATTATTAAGAGAGTTGCTGCTCCATTTAAAGTGTATCTCCAACTGACATGTTGGGTGCCGTTCAAGTCACGGAAAATTATTTACTAGTATCAAGAGTACTAACCGTTATTATTGATTATTGAACCGTTTATTGACGTGTTTCCTTCTTTTTACGAGACTGTTCATATGTAACGAAGGTCGTTCGCCACAAGTCATCGGTTGCCTAGGTCAATGAAGGTGAAATTTCATCTAATTCCACAGTGCTCGACTCTCCGTCGTGCTTTAACATTCTTGCTTTTTTATCGAATTCGGGATGCTCTGAAACGATTTATATACGACATCTGTAAGAGCTCCTGTATAATTAAGAAATCAAGTTGAACAAATCTCTTAATACTCGATTTTAACATCAATGATGTTTATATACGGTCACGAGGCCGGACTACATGCTTGATAATGTTAGCATGAGCTGTTTGAAGATCAGCAGCTAGAGACGCGGCGCTGTCAGTGATAGCGCGCTGCTGATAAGCATTTCCTAACTTGAGACACTCGTGCCGTGCCGCTCTTGCGAGCTCTTCAGACGTTGACGTGATGCCCTCATCAACTGTCGCTACTTAAATGCCCCATCACAACTCGCTACTCACTTCATCTACTCGAGTCTTATTCATGCGATGTAAGCCGCCGCTTCACGTTCTTCAGAACAAGTATTGCTCCTCCGAAGTACTGAATTCAAGCTAGCCATATTTACGTAGAAATTTTGTTGTATGGTAATACCCAGATGGAATGATATCGTGTACGGCACTTCTCTTACTGAACTGGAATACCGTCCCTGGGAATAATATTGTTATTCATTAGCAATAAAAAACCTTTGAAATATTATTTCTTCACCTTGAAATTCGTGAAAATTATGTCGATTTTCAATAGATCGTTGCAGTCCGACAAGGATTAGTAGGTATTATCTTTACTGTCATTTTAACTCCTCGCAGTTTTTATAGAGCATCTAAATATTTTCATATGTAATTGTAAAAGAATCGCGATGAGCGTACGGTGTAATTAAATTTAGGAAGCTTGTGCTTTTTGATTCCAATGCAGACTGAAGTGGTCCGTTAGTCCTTGCCTCGTTGATTGCAATTGCAAGCTATTGATGGTCAGTTAGGCTGTCACATATACATGTCTGTGATAGTGCTTGTGCGAGACTGAGAGAATAACTTCGATACAAGTGGCTTACTGAGCCATCAAACCACACCGGTTATATACTAATTTGTGGTTCATAGCAGCCGTTTTATTGCTGTGGAATAGGAACTAGTACTGAATTATATTACGAGTGTAGCGTAGATCCATCCAGTCCACTCTTCTAGAGCGATTGATTTTCTGACTTGAATGTTCTCGATTTCGACATGCCTATTAGATCTAGTCTTCTCTTCTAGAGCGAATTATTGTATAACAAATTTACTGTATATATCGTCGATTACAACATCTTAGTTAAATCTAGTCTTCTCTTCTAGAGCGAATTATTTTCTAACATATGTACTGTACATGACGTTCATTCCAACATCTTAGGTAAATCTAGTCTTCTCTTCTAGAGCGACTAATTGCCTATTATAAATGTGTTCGAGTTTAGCATGTCTGGTGAATGTATTTCAATGAATATTCAGCGGTGAAATTGTTGAATTAAAAGCTGTAAATGTGTGGCAGGTGCACGCCTACATCATCTCTGAGCTGAAGAAGGAGATGCCCAGCGTCTTCGGCAAGGAGAACAAGAAGAAGGAGCTCATCAAGAGGCTCGGCTCCATCTATGAGAAGATCCAACGGGAACATCAAATATCCCCTGGTGACTTCCCTGACATCAAGAGGATGCAGGTGAACTTTCAATGCGTCAAGTTTTAACTATTTGTCTACGGATACATTTTACCGTCGTCGATGCTATTCGTACGTGAAGGCCTGGTACCGAGAGGTCCCATTAGTACACAAAGGGGGTAAATAGATTGTTCGGTATTTTCAATCAAAGAACACCAAAAATAAGTCTGCTACCGTATACCATGAGCAAAAAATGTTCGTCCGACTAAGATTTATAGCGAACTTTGACTTCAGTAATTGAGAAATTCATTATGTACAGTACAAAATTATTTACCTAATCTAAAACAATTATCAACCGAGTCTAAGGAATGACAGGAAGAGGACGGGACCGGATTTTAGCAATTCAATATCTATTTATTTGTTTACGCCTCGAAGATTAGGCATTTTATAATGCTGGTGTGAATAAATGTTAGTCATTTATATTGATGAAGTTCAAGTTAGTTTAATAATGACCCAAAATTATCATCTTTAGTCTAATAAAGACCCAAAATTATGATGATGACGTGTCTATAACTGATATAGGTATATTTCTGTATCGCTGAGACTGTCAGTATGTGCCTGCGCCCCAGTTTGCTTTGAATTTATCTCGCTTATGAGCTCTTATCATCATCATCGCTGCCTCCTATCGTACTGATAACGCAGACGGACCTACTCGAATCTCACGAACTGGTGCATTCATGCTCTATGAAAGACAAGTCTTCACATTGTATGCCTTTAAAATATTATTTGCATATATTGTTCAATTTTTAACCCGAGTGCTCCTCAAAAGTTGTTTATTATGAGAAAAGACCTTTGGCAATCAAAGTAACATAGCTAACAATTTCTTTGTAAAAGGATAAAAGAACTATTCAGTCATTATTTCGAATTATGAAATATTCTGTTTCTTCATCTATTATTTTTGCAGTAGTAGATAACTTTTGATTTCACGGTAAATATATCGTTTCCATCGACTAGAACTTCTAAGATTTATCCTAATATCCAGGAGCAATTGACGATTCACAACTCTAGAAAGATCTTTCGTTCAAATTCATGGACAATTAATTAATAGACTAGCCCCGACATGTTGGATTAATTTATGGTGCTCAACACTAACAATCTTTCGTTTTCATTCATGTGCATTTCTAAGACGCTCTGATCTGCAGGACCAGCTGGCGGTGCACAACACTAGAGCAATCTTTCGTTTCCATTCTCGTGCATTCCTTAGACGCTCTGATCTGCAGGACCAGCTGGCGGTGCACAACACTAGAGCAATCTTTCGTTTCCATTCACGTGCATTTCTAAGACGCTCTAATCTGCAGGACCAACTGGCGGTGCACAACACTAGAGCAATCTTCCACTTCCATTCTTGTGCATTTCCACGCTTGTGCATCTGCAGGACCAGCTGGCGGTGCACAGCACTAGAGCAATCTTCCACTTCCATTCATGTGCATTTCTAAGACGCTCTAATCTGCAGGAACAATTGGCAGTGCACAACATTAGAGAGCAATCATTCACTTCCATTCACGTGCATTTCTAAGACTTGCCCTAATCTGCAGGACCAGCTGGCGGTGCACGACTTCACAAAATTCAACGCGCTGAAGCCACGTCTGCTGGAGAATGTCGACCTGATGCTTGCCAACGACATCGCGCGCCTCATGGCCATGATCCCTCAGGAGGAGGCCCTGGCCACGCGAGAGAACAACTCTAATGTCAAAGGTGCTCAAATATGTACCTACCCTTACTTTTTATTTATATTTATCAGATTATGAAAACTGGTCGCTTCAAAATCAGGTACCAAGCTACAGCCACGGATGATGTTTTCGAGATTGAATCGTGTTTTTCAAAAAACTTTGATATCACCAATTTTGATAATTCTGATTCCATTATTTTTTTGTTGATGAAGGTTTTTTTCGTTTGCATTTTTGTGGCTGGGTTCAGGAGAATAAAAGTATTGCAGAACGCTCGTCTGGTTGTCCTAGAAGTACCGTAGCATGGTTTGCATTCTTAGTAGACGGTCAGGTAGAATTAAATTTCTAATATTCTTAGCTGCGTATTTTGCTTCTTATATACATTCAAAATTTTATTTTCAGTGCGCAGTTCTGTTGAAATTTGTTTCTCCATGTTTCTGAACTTGCTGTGTTTTTCAGGTCTCTGATTTCTAAGTCTCTTCGCTGTGATTTTTTCTTTCTGTTCCGTTATGTCTTTCAATATCATTGTTTCAATTTATTGGATGTTAGATTGGTAACTTGTTCACAGTCAAGTTTCGAGGCTGTCAAGTTCAAACTTTTTCTTGCAAGTTCGTTTTTCAATAACTATGCCCTTTTTCTTTGAGCTGCCCTTCAAATTTTTTTCTTTCTGTCTACTTGTCATTACAACTATTTCAGTGTTTATTAAATTTCATCGTCGACTTAGCGTTGAAAATTTCCTCATTATTCTATCGATTGGCCGTAAGTGGCACCAATATCAGTTCCAGTGTTGGCATGTTATACTTTAATTCACTTAATTCTCTGTATTGCCGCGTGAATTATCAGGCTTTATAGTGACATTCGTTATCCATGTGGGCGTTAGACTGTTAGTATTTGTATTTGATATTTTTCGGGTACTATCTAAATCTTGGTAGTAATAAAATGCTACTTATTTACAATTTGACACCCATGGTCTCGCTGATCGCCTTTTATCATTAAAATATTGATTGCCAATTGAATATATATCCGTGGTAAGAATGAAAGAGAACTGATTTTTCGTTGCGACCAATTCGTTTCATGTAATCGATACGGATTTTTTCTTCTTTTAACGTTGTTGCATTCTTAACCACCTTATTTATTCAGAGCATGACTGTGTTGATAATTCTATTTGCCAGTGTCCAATGTTCGTTTATTTTCATTGTGGATTAATTATGTAGATGAATTTTTTTCAGTTTAGGTAACTTTGAGTTTCGGCAACTTTTCGGTAACCGCACATGACGCTTCATGTCGAACCCTGGCTGCATTCACGTTTTCTTTACCTAGACTAGGATTTTGATGTTAACTCTGTAGTTTTTTTCGATACCTCCTTTTGCTCTTAATCCATTAGTTTTTCTCCAAATTTAACTTAACATGTTGAGACGGAATTTGCAAAAAACGTAAAGCTAACTGCGTCGTATGTGTTGAAGTTGACGCACTTCTCATTCCAGATTCTGGTGATCAAGTTGGCAAACTATCAGGTAGGCTAACAGACCAACACTTCTGTTGCTCAGACTTTGCTTCAGCGGCTTTATAAATTAGTTAGTTCTATTGTGTGTCCTCTTCGAAACCTGAATAATATTTCCGTGTGCATATTCTTGTCTCGTCTTTCATTTATAAATCTTAATTGCCTTGCATCTGTGTGATTCTACTTCTTCGGTATTTCAGTAGGTAAATATCAGTTCTTCTGATAAATTGTTTCCATCTCAAAGTTCTATACATTTGTCGTTTGTGGTGTCATAGATGTTATTTGAGAAATTTTGCTTCAAATTAGCAGCACACACTACGCTTATTAATTTTTCACCGAAATATTGCTGTCTAAGTCGGTTTGACACATGGCAAATTTTTTCTTCAAGTTTCACGTTCCCGCAGTGTAACCTGACAATGAGAATGTTATAAGTGCGTGTGGACTGTGTCTTCTGTGTGATGATTTCATCACAGTTATTCTGATCGATGGTGATGAATTCACCGTTTTATTGCTTTCTTTCTTCACACGCAATTTTCCGAAACTATACAGACTTTTTTATTTGACCCTATTCAGGCAACATCCTTGATACAAGTATAGAAAATTTTCCTCGACTTATTATGGGACAGGTTTTCTCGGCTTGTTAAGATCTCTAATTAACATGGTTGTTTTCAATCTTCGCGTGGTGTCAAATTTGGTCATCTTTCGTGTGCTGTACTTCAAGATTGTCATTTTCTAAAGTGCGTCCTGTTTTTGGGGCTTCAGTAAAATTTCATACATTTGAAGTGCTTCTGGAGCCTTTTGCTTTTAGATGGAAAGTTGAAATTTATTATTAGCTATAGAATTTAATCATCTGGTGGTTAGATGACGAAAATTATGATTGCATGAGCATGCAGGCGTAAATAAGATTAAAATATTTATACTTCTACGTATGAATTCTTTTTAAATTCGAATGCGATTTCGAAACATTGTATTCCTACTTAAAATAATATGAATTTTGTAATTTACTTTCGGTATAACAGAAATCGTGACAGTAATTACATAATTATACTCGTTTGTAACCTATAGCTCCTCACTTTTTTTTGCTACTTGAAGCTAAGCTACCTATCGTCGTCTATGGTCTTAGATATACCTACTGCCCGTCCTGGGATTTAATTGTCACAATTATTTCGTTAACGTTCTGCCACATGACAGCTTGCCCAGTATGTGCCGTTATTACATTGTCACAATTATTTCATTGACGTTCTGCCACATGACAGCGTGCCCAGTATGTAGATCGTGTCTGAGATTTTTTTAACGTTTTCGCCGTGAATTGCAGGAGGCGCGTTCGACGGAGTGATGAACGACAACACAGTGTTCGGCTACCGCCGCGGCGAAGGCATCGATGCGGGATCTGGCGAGCCGGAATGGATCGTTGCTAAGGATCGTCACAAGTACGATCAGCTCTTCTTCGCCCTCGATCCCATCGACGGCAAGATCACTGGATCAGGTATGAACTTTTTTTGTGAGATCATCTGTGTATATTTAAATTTTATCAGGATAGTCGTCGGTGGACGTCACTATTTGTTTAATAATTTCTTGGTTTAATATATTGTGTGTTAGTGACGCTTGCATTCTTTTATTTTTAAAATATTTTTTAGTTGCATTATTAGCTGAAATAGTAAAACGAAAATTTAACTCGTCTTTTGAAATTTAATAGGTCGGATGTACGCTAGTTAATAGTTTATTGCCTGCATTTATTCAACCCAAAAGTTTAATTATTAACAGAAACTATCTCTACCAACAAATTTCAAATCCTAATGGGAAAAAGAATTTGCATCGATCCAAAGCTGTTAAATAGTGAGTTGGTGTCGCTTTCATTCAAAATTTTGATCCACTTCCAAATTTCTCTTCAAGCTTCAAACTGTTTTCTTGAATTTCCTCCAACTTTTGCAGCGTTACTGCTCGTTAGTTCCTTCAGCTTGTACAGCTTTGCTGCTAGTTATTTTACTAACATAATGATGGCCTCATTGTCTTCAGCTGCCAAGGCGGAGATGGTCAAATCAAAGCTACCTAACTCCGTGCTGGGCAAAGTATGGAAGCTCTCCGACCTGGACAAGGACGGTATGCTAGACATTGACGAGTTCGCTCTCTCGATGCATCTCATCAACGTGAAGTTGGACGGTCACGACCTACCGGCTGAATTACCAGAGCATCTCGTGCCGCCATCAAAGCGCGGTTTCCAAGCCTAACGCGTCACTTGAAGTTATTCGAAAACTTGTGTCTGCCTCAATGCCTCTGCGTTCTCATGTGTCAGCGAGATGCAATCCTTTAGTAGCAAATTTCCTTTGGAAAAGTTTGATGGGGTGGAAAGTCAGCGTGCATTGTTTACTGGAAAAATTTACTCAAGTTTCATAATGCCCGGAAGTTGCTGTGTGATGGTCAGTATTTGATTTTTATTTTTCAAAGTCTAAAAATCAGCATCAGCAAAAATTTTGCATATCTTTTAGAGCCGATCAGCGTGTTTATTTATTTTTGAGATTAAGGGCATGTAATTTCTTCAGTGTTGATGAGCAGATTTTTGTGTTAAGAGTAGTGAGGATGAATGAAATGAAAAGGATTTTCGTTTATGCTTATGTCTATTTGATATTTTTTCTTTACCTTCCAACAAATTTTCATTTTTAGGACTTTTTGCTCGACGTGAATAATCAAGCTTTTTCTTCGATCATGTGTAGCATTGTTTACAATATAAATCGTATTTCACTAAATCTGGCTGTATAGAATTATCTTTATTTTATTTGACCATTATCTGATTTGCTTAGTAAAACCTTCAGAACAAACATTTTATTTCTGAAACATTTGGTTGTCCCTGAGTGAAAGCTACTCGTGGGAGTGTCATTGATTTTTTAAGGGCAGATGTCTATTATTTCGCGTTTCTGGAGAGAATAACTTGAACAAGTGTGAGCAGCAGCTCATCTTGCCGGGAATCTTCGAGTGAGTGCCTGAATGTGGCTCCCAGCCAGCCTAAACTTCTTCTTAGTAGACAAACATTTTCATGAATAATGCCATCGCTGCATCTATCATTACAGATGTCGAATAATTGTACACGAAATCAACCAGGCGTATCATTGTTTCAAAATGTTTCCTTGAGCTCGTGGTATGGTTGACTCGCCTGCATTTCAAAAATCTATAACTAACGCTTACATTTCTTAGTTATATATTAAACCTACAACATGCAAAAATTATTAGGCTTGTTGTGAGACATTGTTGACTTTATTTATGAAATTCCTGGTCGCCTAAAATCGAGCGAGTTCAGATCTTCGCGAAGACATGAGTCATTTAATGGTAGTTCACATTCGTCGAGGCGGAAGTAATCTTATGTGAAATTCCTCAGAACTGACTCAAGTTTTCCAGCCTCCTGATGCACCGAGGTTGAAAGAATTTTGGTTTTTGTTGGAGATTACGGATTAAAATATCAAGAATTGGGCTGGTGATACGGAGTCAAGTATATATTGATTTGATGTTAAGAGCCTAACTGTAGTCTTAAGTGTTTGTATACAGAGTCTATAATAATAATTATTATCATCATCATTTATAATGTCATTATTTCAATCGTGTCATGATCAATATTAGATTTGTCTCATTTTCGTTATTTTTTACTATTTATTCATGAGGAACTCGGTGTCTGCTAGTGTCGATGTGCAGTAAAGTTATACTTTTGGCTTTCATATTTCTATTGTGTAGAGAGAGTAATTCATTTAGAATCAGTTCTCTGAGGAGGGCTTGAGGCTGCAACGAAAACTATGCTTGTATCTCAAGCCAATCCTCGCATTGGTGACATACACCATTTATTTCTTTTCTTCTTATATTTGAAAATTTCATTATTGTTCTATGGCCTGAATAAAAGCGTCTACAACGAACCCTAACCATTTCTTTAAATATAACTATTTCTCCTGTGGTGCACTCGCCAGGCTTGTGCTATTTCTTGACGCTTAATGATAGAAGAACAGTATGCCTTTTCTTTTGACTATCAAGGAATCTAAGAATTTTCGTCTTCCCGTTTCTTAGGCATACTTACATGTACTGATTTCCAGGCTTCAAATAAATAGTTGAGGTTGCATAAAGTCTAAAGTTCGCATTTACGCGTCAAAAAGTCGAGGTGGGCAAGGTACTTTTTTTTTCTTAGCCGTGTTTGCTTCTTAAGTTTAGTATGAAGTCCAACAGTATTTTATATCACATTCTTGATTTATAGCAAGTGTAATTGAACTGTCAGCTTTTCTTGTTTTTCATTGGTATTCAGTTAAAATTTGTTTATGGAGTGATTCTTACAATAATACCATAAATACTTGTTCTTTTTATTTACCTTCCATCCTGTTCGACATTGTTTAGTGTGCACAATCAGTGTTGCCACAGAGGAAGATACTATTGGAAAAATACTAGCACGCTTCATTAATTTCGATTATATTTACGTAGTGATGCATAATTTTCCAGTGTATATTTTATGTTTTGGTCGATTAGAGTCATGGGCGTTCAATCTTTTTAAAAAATTTCTAGTTTTAAAGCACATATTCACTTTGCTAAAAATACATTCCAACTATTAACATTTCTCACACTCTTCAGTTGCCATTTGTAATGATTTTGCTAGAGGTCAAGTACGAGCAATCATAGCTTGCATATCTGGTGTAACATTTACTATCCTGGGAATGTGCAGAATCTTTCATTTTCCAAGCTGCGGCGTAATAGTTGAAACTGTTTGTACTTCTATACCTTCCCAATTGAATAAATTGAGCTAAATGGAACACTGTACCGTTAGAGGCCAGCTCCGCACTCTTGAAGATTCCCATCAAATGCACGTGAAGGTCAGTAGCAAGTGGATGATGCTTGACAGAGCCTATTGACCTATAGCATCATTCACCTTGGCATGCCTGCTTGCTTTTGAAATTAGATAATCACTATATTTAAGATCAAAATTTTTTAATGTTCTTGGAATTTAAGCGGCTCGATTTACTCGCTCCGCGTTCACATTCTTGTCACTAATGATGAATACGATACGTTTTGTTAATCAGTTTAATGGGCAAATCACAGTTACGCTATTGCGTATATTGTGAGTATTTTTGATGAATGAAATATTACCGCAGTTCATTCAAAAGATGTCCATCATTGGTTATCGAGGCCAACTAGGGCTTTGTTTTCATTGCACATTATCTATAGTATGGGAAGAAACCGCTTGTCCTGATTACGTTTCACGTTGTGAAAGCCCTCGCAGGGATGAGTTTACATAAATTTCCTAATTTGGTTATGAATGCGGAAGGCTCCAAATAACATCTCAGAAGATGCAAGTGGCTTGTAGGCTTGCTTACATTTTTTTAGTCGAAAACGCACACCTAGTGCGTCTCAGTAGTGCCTTTGAAGCTTTATTGCGCCAAACAAGGTGCGATGAAGATCACTTGAGCAGCATCGCCTCGTCGTCTTCTAGCCTGTACCTCAGACATGGTCATTCTTGTTCACATAGTTGAGTGGAGCGCTTGACTCATGCCTCATTATGAGGCAATTTTTAAGGTGGACAACCAGTAAGGGTGAAACTTGTCGGTGGGTTCATTTTTAGAGGTTCGAAGCAATCGTGGTCATCGATGAATATTTTCTGGATTTGATTACGCTCACTAGCTAATTGCGGGGGTCGAAGCAAAAAATCTATATTTGTAAGAAGAAGAAGAATATTTGTAAGAAGAAATAAAGTAAAAGCTAAGATAAACAACAATAACTTCACGTTATCTAAAACTGCTCACCAGCACGCGAATGAATATCCCTGTCTCGGTGTGATGGTGCAACCATACAGCAGCAAAGATAAAAAGCAATCCGTTCCCTCCACCGCTGGCGGCAGCGTACCGTCGCAAGGGTGCAAAAAAAATATTAACTACTATCCCTTTCACCCTTGCACCATAACTCTGGTAGCTAGCTGTTATATTTAAGCATTAACAATTATTCAAATTACGAAATGTCAAATTAATAATATTTTTCAAAGTGCTAGCACGCGCAGTTACATTTGACGGGAATGTCTTCAAAAGGAGCGGGTGCCACTTTAATAATGAGAGATTTGTCTATGCATGACAGAATTTATATGAGTAATGTCTCCTCTCAGTTTGAGTGTATCCTTCTGGTCATGCTTGTATACTGGTCTCAAATATGGCTTGCTATTTGGATTAGTGCAATTAATTGCTTCGTTGAAAAACTGAATGTTTTTATGCATATATGATGTGATTTCTTTGATAAATCCAATTATACAATTTGGTGCTTAAACATTAACGGTGGAAATTCCGTACTTATCGTGTTTCTCTTGCAAAACAGTTTTCATGGCTGGATGAAATAATATTTATCACAGATAGTCCACTGTCTTTCATTTTATATAACATGTGATTTCCTATTTATATAGTATGTAATTCAAGTATTACACGTCTTTCATGAGAAACGGATTCAACAAACCCTCCGAACAGAAATGACCTTAAACAATATACGAGATTTGTCTTCAGCACAAAAGTACATGAAACGCACAGCTTGTTGACGAGCGTATATTATACGTTGATATCACGGGTCGAATTCGGTTTCCGCAATGAAAATAGTTACTCTCGGAAATTATCCTCAGGCGAAAATTTGTCATTTTTGCACGTAATGTAACACCGACTGCATGCATGGTGCAACTCATCTGTTCTTGGGCAACGTGGTGTAACTTTCTGGACCTTCAACACACAGTACAATCCGTTTTTATTGCTGCTGTTTGACGTCATGGAATACCTGTAAACAGATACTTACCAAAGAGTACAATTAATCATACAATTCTTTATCACTTCAGTAGAGTTAGTCAGCTTTTCACTGCTTTTTACGCTGTCAGATTTTTTTAATGGTTCGGTTCGCACTTAGAAGTTAATTTCCTAATGCCACAAGTAACCTCAAGCAATTATTAATGAGTTTTGCACGTTATTTTCATTATTTAAAGATGTCACCGGGTTCCATGGCGCAATTAAAATTTAATGTTCAAATGAAGAACTTTCATGGAAAATTGCATCAGATTCTAAGTCTTTATTTTTTAATAAATTGTGTACAGTAATTCATTTCTTTAACCTTTCATTATTTATACGTATTCAATGAGACTTGAATTGACCCTAATGAATTCCATGTAATGTAAGATGCTAAAGTCACCCTTGAAATTGATATTGATGTGTAGTCTTCCTGATAGTCACTGGGACTGGCGCCGTGTCCTCTCCCAAGCCCCGACCGCTTGCGAGTGCAACGTTAGGTAAGAAGTAGTGCAGCGCTCGTCAGGTGAGGAGTGCGAAGTAGTGCTCTCTTTGAAGTCGTGTCGTTTTAACTTGTGTAGTTGTGCGTATGTGGATGAATAATTTATTAAATCAACGCTTCGATTTATCGGAAACTATTGTTATTGCTTGTATGAATGAAAGTTGAATATGGCTTTGCAACTGAACTGTAAATTTATCGTCGTCCG